GGCCCTGAAAAGTACTTATGGGAGTGGTAAATTAACTTATGTACCCTTTACCACGCAACCTAGCAACGGCAAGGCTTACCCATTTGTTAAATAAATGTCATGACCTTTTAAAGCATATCACATAAGTCTCTGAATCATCTCTAAATGAAATTAAGAGTCTATCTCAGTAGAAGCATAGCAAGTAGTCTGTATTTGAGTTTGGTGGTCCACTATGCCGGAGCGGAGTACCCCATCACATGTCAATCTATCGCAAGGTTACCCCCGCACCATTTCATCAGACTTCCCTGAAAATTTGCTAACCCCCATTTAGACTCCTGGGTAGAAAGAGGTATTTCAAAAGCCGAGTGACGCGCCCAAAATATAACACAAGCCAGGTCTCGAGCCCAGACCTCTCAACGCAGAGTCCAGCACAGAAACCTCGTAGTCGCCACGTCTCCCACTTACAAGCGAAGTGTTTAACTAAAACTCGTTATACTTCACCACTAAATTTTTTCCGATTCTTATTGGTTTAAATTGATCACGTAACGCGATAGTGTTCATCCGTGGAGAGACACTATCAGCCCATAGTGCCCGTCCGCGGAAAATACTTAGATGGATAGTGCCCGTCCGCGGAAAATACTCGGATGGATAGTACTCATCCCTGAAAAATTTTGAATGGTTTGATGACCGCGAAGTTAGGCAGATCGGAAAAACAGTGACTTTCCAATTCTGACAGCTAATGTAAGGTTGCGACCTACTGACATTTGTGACAGGCTGTATGCATGAATGAATATTTGATTGATCTGCACTTAGTGGGTTTTGATTGCTAATCAACTAGCGCGCGGATGAAAATTTAGTAGTGAACAATAAAGACTATAGAGTGTTTAGGTCTCGGAACTATCGGTGTGACAGTTGCTCCTTGAAAATTTGATGTTCTTAAAACTAGCATATTTGCCCTCGAAGCTTGGCTTCTCGGGAAAATATTTGTTTAAAGAACGTCGAATTTCCGCGGGGCAACTATCAGCCAATAGTTCCTCGACAGAAACACTCTATTGTTTAAATAGTGTACGCCGATCTTGCAACATTTGAAGTTTGTTTGTGAGATGATCAGTGGTCACTGATGTCACTCCATCACACACATACACACGTAGTTTGCTTCTCTTCAAGCCAAACAAATACAGGCGTACACTAATTTTCCATACAAAAAGGCAAACAAAAAGGAAATACCAGCCTTCCTTAAAATCATAAATTCATGATCGTAAATTATAATCAACTGTACCTATTCGAAAAGACACCGCCGCCCAGTTAGCCCAATGGATAGTGCGCTGGACCGTTGTGCTGGAGGTCGAGGGTTCGAATCCCGGCTGGACCAACACTCAAGGTCTTAAAATAATTGAGAAGAACTTGCTGCCTTTCTCCTGCAGGGCTGGGGGTAGGAGACGTTAAATTCCCACACACGAGATTACTGTGTGATGGATGTCCTCCCCTGGGGTGGGATGGGAGGGTTTATACATTAAGTGTAAAGCGCTGTTGATCTGTCAATGAAAATAGCGCTCTATAAGAAATAAATTACTTACGCACTACATTTGGAGCTACTTTCTCCCTTGCTGGTTGGCCTCCTGCTTGATCTCTTGCATCCTCATTTTCTACCACAGATAGATATATGGAATGATCAGAGACGATAAAAAAGTAACAAAACTGACATTCTTCAAATTGCTTTTTCCTTAAAGCTTAAAACAAGTTTGTCTCTTTTCAAATTCAAATAGCGCGTCCAAGACCAAAACGACGAGATTAACGATAACGATAGTAAGATTGATTATCACAATAACCAAATTATCTTTCATATTGCTCCCCAACTGATTTTTTCTTGGTTCATAAGAGAAGCACTCAGAGCTGGGGCGAAAATTCACTGAGATTCTAGCGACTTTGCGAGTTGACCGAGTAAAAATCGGAAATGTAGCACATGGTCGAAAATTTTAAAACCTTCCCCCAAATGCCTGTCACAAAGATGTTATGACACGGATATAAAGTTATAAAGGAGAAATAAAGACAATAATGCTTTATTTTCTGTTCCAAAAAGTCAAATTTCTAATGAAGAGGAGGAAAATTCTACATCAGCATGTTAGTAACCATGGCTACGCCACTACCCCACACGTGAAAGATATAGAGGATATTAAATGCCCGCGCCGGGATACGAATTTTATCTTCTCGTGCTGAAAGTATCTCTCACGAGTGAGCTGCGCTCACTCGTGAGAGA